CACTAATACAAACTAACTTTGAAGACCTTGTGCTTGCAGCAAGCTGGATGAAGAAGAGCAACACATGGACTAAGTCCGCTTACGTAAACTATCTGAAATATACAAATCCAGAGAAAGCAAGCAGAGGACAAGATTCCAAGGGCTGGGCAGGAGGAAGAAGTGGCTGCATAGTGGGCCGTTTGGGGGTGATGAACTGTCCTAAAATACACTAGGTGACAGGCGTGCAACTTAGTGAATATAGTGAAGGTCCCTGAACTGTGTGCTTGAGATGGCAACGTGTCTCAACAAAGCTGCTACAGGCCATGAAGCAACTCAGTTCATGTCCCTTTGCTGCCCAAACCACCCTGGCTACGCAGGCCCACCACACTTCCTACAACAACTAACTCTGCCCAGCTTCCTCTGCAAACTCACTCCCCACAGACCCCACCACCCTGACTCCTATCAGGCCCACTCCTCTTTGGAGAACACTGTCCTGTCCTCTGCCTGCCCGCTCCTACTCCCTTTCCAAGTGTCTCCTCCTCCTGCTGCCCAGCCCCACTCCACATCACAGGGCAGGGCTTTCTTCCTTGTCCAAATTTCCTTCCTGGCATGAAGTGTGTCTGGCACCTGCCATTCTAGAATATACTGCCTGATGACAGTCAGTTGACCTCCACACTGGGATGCCCCACACAGCAACCTCTCGGCTCTACCAGCCCCTTTCCTGCTTCCCTTTTCCCTCCTGTGCCTCCCTCCCACTGGGATCCGAGGACCCCAGGCTACATGTACACCCACTCCTGCACCCAGCACTCTCAGCCTTGGGGTGAGGCTTAGCTGGCTGGGAGATCTCACATTCTCTGGTAACAGTGTCTGCAACTCGCTCTGATCTGGGGACACAGATATGGCCCTGAGCAGAGCCATCTGATCCTCTGTCTGCTTCTCATAGCATCAATCAATGGAACACCTGTGTCTCCTACCTGGCCTAGTGCAACCACTTGCAAGGGTTCACAAGCACACGTTTGCCAACTCCAAGCTCATCATCTTCCTCAGGTCACAGTGTCAGTCCAAGCCAGCAGGGCCAGCTTGGTGAGGAAAACGACCAAGTGCTGTCAAGACAGACGGATCTCAGTTCCAACCACCAAGCTGCCCTTCTCTGGGACAGACTTCTAGAACCTTAATCCACTGTGAAGCTGCAGCACATCTGGCTCAGTGGCAGTGCCTGAGCACTGTCCCCAAGGGGCAACTGCTCCCTCTGGCTGACTGCTGCCTCCACAGATCTCAGGTCTGCACCTGCACACTCAGATTCTCAAACACTGGCAAATTACTGGAAATTGCTAAAAACAAACAAAACTCTTCAGGTTGAACACTGCACACTCAGGGTGGCTACAACTGTCAGGTTCACCAATTGAGGCAGGGTGGGATATTGACAGTGGGAGGATGTTGAAAAGAGGGAGAGGCACGTGGGAATTCTCTGTACTTCCTGCTCTACTCTGCTGTGAACCTAAACCAGCTTTAAAATATCTACATGCTAAAAAGACAAACAGGAACAAGCTGAAGACCCTCTCATCCAGATACATGTGCAGTCTCCACCTGGCCTTCTACCAGCCACGTGTTTCTGCCTGGCCATTTGCTGGGGCAATATGCCAGTGGGGTCTGGCCTGGCCTGGGAGCCTTCCTGAGTGCACCCTTCCCTCAGCTCCAGATGCCCTCCTTACCTAACAGTAACTGACCACATCCTTCAAGTGCAGGTTACATCCCAGTCACAGACACAAGCACTGTAAGTACATAAGCCTGGGCTGATCCCCTAAGCCACCAGGGAGACCATGAGAGGCAGGACAATCCCTCCAGCAGGCTTCCAGGAAAGAATTCAGCCTATGGACCAGCTGTGCAACCTGGGCAGGGTGCTCCACCTGTCTGTCCTTCCTCATCTTTATAGTGAGTGTCAGGATTAAGTGTCCAAAAAGAAGCCAACAGACATCACCAATGAAGGGCTGCTGTCCCTGTTTTAAGACAAGGAAGCCAGGGTTGACACCAGATGAGTGTCTAATGTGATGTCATACAGCCACGAAACAGAGCTGAGTCAAACTGGGCTCTGCCAGTTTAACTCTCTAGACACTACTGTGTGCCCCTTGTAATGTGGATTCCTGTGGATGAGGCCTACATCTCCTATGCATCCCCCTGACCATCCCACAGAGCACCCACCAGGCTGTGTCCTCAAGAAGGGCAGGGACTATTCCCAGCATTGCAATGTGCACACAGCAGCCTCAGAAATCAATGGCTCTGAGCAAACTGTCCCTGGGTTTGAGCCTGGAGCTGTATCTGACAAATCCCTGGGTCCTCAGCATCATCACATGAGGCCAGGTGCCCTGCAGGGGCTGGAAAGGACTACCCATTCAGCACGAGAGAGAAGCCACTGTTCTGCGAGCCCAAAGGGCAAGAGCAAAGGGCCAAGGCAGAGACAGTAAACCCCTGAGAAGGCCTGGTCACCAGACCCCTGGAAGAACGCACAGCCCCGTCCAGCCTGCCTGGGCAGGGTCAGCTGGCTTCCCCATAGCTGTGAAGCAACAGTGCTCTGCACTTCCACAGCACTGCCACTGTCACTGGCATGGCTGCCCAGCTTCCTTACCTACCTGGCTGGCCAGTGAGGCCTCCGTGGTAAGGCATGGATACATCTCACCACCCACATCCTGGCCATCTACAGAAGTCACCCTGTACTCTTGCTGTGCTCCCTAGAATGAGGGGTTGGGTCTCAAACTCCCCTGAATCAGCGAGCAGCTCTGTGTATAGGAGTCCTCATGATAGTATACCCACAGAACCTGAGCCCAGAGAACCCCCCTACCCAACAGTCAACACCTAAGAGAGCTTCACCACAGGCCTGTCTACCTAGACACAACATTGCCTAAAAGAATCAAGTCAAGGAGGAGGGGTTACAGTGGAGGCCAGCTCTGAACTCATTATACTTGTATTGTGATGTTGATGTGGGGTCTGGGGCTCGTGAGCACCAACCCAAGCCATCTGTCCCATCTGGATAACACAGGCCTCGGAGAACTCAGGACAGTGAGTACCAGGAACAGCGCCAAGCCCTGACAAGTGCTTAGCACATGCCATCTCCTGACCATGGAGGCCCAATGCCCGGCACAGGCCTGGAAGCACCAGGGGACAAGTAAATGAGATTTGTGAGGTGTCTTGAGCACAGGAACCCCGAGAGCTGTGTATGCCCTTTGGGGCAGGGAAAGCTAAGCATCCTGCCATCCGTCCTGGAGTTCTGGTACTGCCCCTGCACATGCCCTGGCCACACCACCCTTTCCCTGTGCTAGTTAATCTCCCCATTCTCTGCTGGTCACCCCCGCGGGTCTGGGATGCTCCAGAAGGAGCTGTGAGGTTCCTGAGTTGACCAGTGTCACCCACCACTGGGCCTGGTTCAGGGAACCCCTCTCCGACCACGTGGGCTCCCAAAGCACAGCAATCCAATGTACAAAAGGTCCCTGCGTCTGCAGTCTTGATGGGCTGGACTTGGTAAGGGAATTGTGGCCAAGTATGTTCTCTACTTTGGGGGACTAAGGAGGAAACAGCCTGGGAAAGGGGAAGTGACACATTCAAGGTCATGGAGCTACAAGAGAGGGAGCCAAGCCATAGAATCAGAACGTCTGGCTCCAGAGCACTTTCCAGTAATTATGGCTCTGAAAGGAAAGCACCAAGAGCCTTCCACTGAGGTCAATACTGTCTCACCCTGATCTGTCCTGTGGAAACAAAGAGCCTTCAGAAGTAAAGGGGAGTGGAGCAGGGATTTGGGTCCCAGAGCTCTCAGGGAGCACTTCCCAGTGCCTGCCACTTACTCTGGCACTTCCCAATGGGCCAGAGCTCCGCTTGGCTGAAGAAGACATGAGAGGACCCAAATAGAAAGCTAACGTGAATGTTCACAGGACCAGAGGTTACTGTAGAGCAGCAGGCAGGCGGACGTCAGCTGCACTTAGGACAAGAGGCTTATGGTCTCACAGAGGGGCTAAGCCAGGGTCAAGGCCACCGTGCTTCCCCAGAGCTGAGGCCAAATCTCAACTGGATTCTCAGCACTGCCCCACACGAAGCCTGGAAACAGGAGAACACAGACCTGGCCTGGCGGGTCTCTTTTCTTCCACCTCCAAGCCCTTGCTCCTCTCCCTGTCCCTGGTGCCCAGCACAGGCCAGGCACTGCGACAGGCCTCGGTCCATGTTCCTGCCCCCTGGGTCTGCTTTCTGACTGACCCCGTGGGTCCGGGGCACTCATCTCCAGGAATTGGGGTCACCTCGGCCACAGATTGGGGAGTGGGGATGGGTGAGGGCGGGGCTCAGCGTCGGGCCCACTCTGCGCCCGCCCCGGGAAGGAAGGCAGCCGTCCGGGCCGGGCCGCGCAGGCCACGCGGCGCTGACCTTGGCCCGGCGCTTCCCCTCCCGGGACGCGCTTCCTGGCGCGCACGGGCGAATGAATGGGCCGCCCGTCGCCGGAATCCCCGTAATTACCCGCGGCATCAAAGGCCAGCGCAGCCCGCCCGGGGCAGCAACGGGCTAGGTTGACTTGAAAAGAGGAAGGAAGGGACTGTGAGGGAGCTGGGGGGAGACCTGGGGCCCAGACTGTCCCCGGGCCGCCGTTTCCGGCCAGCCTGGCCCGACTGCGCGACCCCTTCCCCTACTGGGCCTCTACTTCCCCCGGGAGTCGCGAGCATTTCCGGCCGCGGCGGGTTCGACAAGGGGAACTAACTGGGCGGCCCGGGACCGACGAGGCCCCTGGCCCGCTGGTCGCGCGCGTGCACGTGCGCCCCCGCGTCAAGGCGCACGCGCACTGGCCCGAACCGCGACGCCTGCCGCACGCACGCGCACTCCCCGGCCGCGCGCCCGCTCACGCCCCCCCACCGCGCGCACGCGCACTCGCCCTCCCAGCCGCGCTTGCCCTCCCGCCTTCCCACCCACCCCCGTCCAAAGCCCGGCTTCCCAAGGCGTGCCCACCCCGGTCCCCAGCGCACGCCCCCCGGGCTCGCACCCGCCCTTACCTCCTCGGCCCCGGGGCCGCCGCACCGCACTCCTCCTCCTCTCGCCTGCCTCACGGATGGTGGCAGCGGCGGCAGCGGCGACTCAGACCCTGGGGTCAGGGGGACGGGCGCCCAGGCCGGAAGTGACCTTCCCGGCCGCTTCCGCCCGCTCCGCTCCCCCCCCTTTCCCCCTCCGCCCGGGCCCGCCAGGCCCGTCCTTGCCGCTCTAGGCAGGAGAACCCCGCGACCCCTGGCCGCCACCCCGCCCCCAGCTCTATGGTGCCGAACGGCGCCTTAGGGCCCCACTTCCGGACGCATCTAGGACCCTAGTCCTCCGTCCCCGCTCTATGGCGCCTCGCGCCGAGGGGCTCCAGCCCCGCCCCTCCCAGGACAGCAGGCGCGGCGCGGCCCGTTAGGCGCAGACTTCCGGGTGTCTCGACGGCCGCTCGCGCCTGCGCGCCCAGCTGCCCGCGGGGACGCTCGCGCCACCCCGGTCCTCCTGTAGTCTCTATCGTCGTAACCCCTTCCGCGCCGGACTGCTCCTGACCCGCGCTGGGCGCCTGGACAGCTCGTTCCCCACGACCTTGACCCCGCAGCCACTGGACAGAGAGAGAGGGCTGCGCTTTAGAGGGCTGCACCTGTTTGTACTGCCCTTCTCCTAACCTCAGTTTCACTACCACCACCTGTGCTGGACCTCCCCCTAGGTCCTAACAATTACTAGGGCCTGCAATGGGTCCTGTCTCCATTCTGCAGAGGACAAGAGGACGAGCTACTCAGCGAAAGTGACGCACCGGGAATGGCAGGGCTTGGGCTCGAACCCTCGAAACCTGGCTCCAAATGCGTACCTTTCACCGCTAGTGTCCATATCGCCTCCTAGAACGAAGATCCATCATAGCAGCTATGAATTCACTACTGCCCGGGTCAGGTGGGCGTCTAGTGAGCTATCACTGCCCGTGAGCTGCAGGCGTTAGTGACTTTCTGGTATAAAACACATATTTTACAAAAATGGTCCACACCATAGTGTCCTCGAGGGCTGGGCTCTCTGACCTCTTACCTGTTTTGTACTTTGCTTGCTCTTATACCTAAGCTGCAGGTTATTTATCGTCTGCTATTCATTATCATTTTAATATCGTCATCGCTGAAACAGCCACGAAGCTATGAACACCTGTCTCAGACTCACGGCCTCATCTGTAAAATGTTGGGGGTGGGGGGTAAGAGACGCCGCAGGCAATGCCTGCTGCAGTTGTTTAATTCGGTACCTGACTCACAGGAAACGAGTTACAATGGCAGCAGCGATCACTTACGGCAGGATATTTCTATGTATGTGTCTACTGTTCACCCTCAAGTCTCAGTCCGTATATACCTAACGTGTGAGTTGCTGACCTAATACCTTTTCAGGGGAACAAGGAACAATGCTGTTTTAAGTGTGCGGGTAAATAGTAAGATACATGGACTGGAGGCATGGCTCCAACAGCAAAGCACCTGCGCCCCAAGTTTAAAACCCAGTCCCAAAAAAAAAACTTAAAATCAAGAAATCACAAAGGGAATATAAAGGTAAAAATTTTGTGTGTATGTGCAGTGGAATATTGTTTAGCCAGAACAAAGGAAAGTAAATTCTGGTGGATACAACAACAGATGAACCTTGTGAAGTGAACTAAGTTCATCAAAAAAAAGAAAAATAATATAATATTTGTCAAAAAAGACAAATATTATATGATTCCACTCACAAGAAGCATCAAATTCACAAACACAGAATATAGAGTGGTGACTGCCAGAGAGTTAAAGGGGGGGAGGGGAGGAGAAGAATGGGAAGTTAGTGTTCAGTGGACACCAAGTTTCACTTTTGCAAGATGAAAATGTTCTGGAAATGGGTGATTGTTTTAATTGAACAAGAAAGTGAGTGTAGCTGGGCGCTAGTGGCTCACACCTGTAATCCCAGCTACTCAGGAGGCAGAGATCAGGAGGATCGAGGTTCAAAGCCAGCCCCAGCAGGTTCAAGACCCTGTCTCGAAAAACACCCTTCACAAAAAAGAACTGGTGGAGTGGCTCAAGGTGTTCAAACCCCAGTAGTACAAAAATAAATAAGTAAAAAGTGCAATTAATACCCCTGAACAGTACAATAAAAAATGGTTGAAACAAAATTTTTATGTATTTTACGTATCTCTTGCCACAAATTTAAATATTTTGAAAGTGTAAAGAAGAAAAGAAATGCCTGTTAATATGACCACCCCTCCTGGGCACAGACTTGGGACTGACAGGCTCTGGATCTGAGGGCTGCCTGGTCGCCCACAGTCTGCAGAAGGAGAAAATGAGGCCATGCAGAGAGGTGAGAGATGGAGAAAGAATGGGCAGCCAAGTTCGGGTGGCCTGGCAGTGAGACTAAGGTGCCCACTGTGCCTTACTAAGGTTGAACTTTCCCGCTCTTCCTTCTGAGTGCAGCTCTCCATGCTCCTTTGGGAAACCTGATATTGGCCCTCAGATAATTCCACCTGGGTTTCTGTCACTTGTAACCAAAAGAACCCTGAGTCTCCCAGAGCACTCTGTGTATCACAAGCCTGGGTCAGTGTTGAACAGGTGAAGATGAAGGAGGCCTGTGGCTAGGTATCCCTGTGCTGGCAAGTCAGCCTCCAATGTCTCTACGCTCACAGAAATTCCCTGGTACAGTGCTTGTAATCCTGGCTACATGGGACACAGAGATGGGAGAAGTTAGCAAGACACAATCTCAAAAAGCAAGCTGGGCATAGTGGTGAACATCTATAATCCCAGCTATGCAGAAGACGGAGGTAGGAGGATCAGCATCCAAAGCCTGTGCAGAAAGCCTGAGACTCTATCTGAAAAATACATAAAGCAACAGGGGTACAGCTCAGATGGTAGAACACCGGCCTCGAACTGCCAAAAAAGAAAGGGAAGGCAGGGGTGTGGGGGGATATTCTTAATGCATTCACCCAGGGATCAGATTGCTCTTTAGAGCCCATTGTTACCCCCTTGTATTTTCCTCCTGAGGTTGTCACCTCACACCAAGTGCCAGGAACAGCTGCAGTTGGCAGATCAGAGATGGAGGGTGTGCAGCTGTTGAAGAAGATTCCTGTAAAGTCTGCCCTCCCCCCACACACATCCTTTCAAATTCTTTTAATTAGCAACCAATTCTTGAGTTTTCACCAGGAATTGTAAACTTATATTCTTAAACTTCACCTCCACTCCTTCCCTCCACACCTAAGAGGAGGTGTGGGCCCTTATTCAAGTATGGACCTCAGGCCTGTGACATTAGTGTCACCCACAAGCCCATGAGGAATGCAGAGTCCCAGGCCCCTCCCTGCCCCTGGCTGTGTCAGAATCTGCATTTTAACCTTGTCCCCCAGGGATTCTTACCCACGCCAAAGTTGAGATGTGCTGGTAACAGGTAAATTACAGCATGCCCTGTTAAATTTGAATTCCAGGCAAACTATGATTTTTCTAGTATAAAAATGTCCCAAACTTGTCCAAAAAGAGTTGGAACCATTACCGCAAGATGAAATTGCTGGAGGTGCTCAACTCGGCCTCTAGGACACTTCTTTGTGTGGCTCTAGCCCACTTTTCCAGGCTCCTCAGAAACTTCTCTACACACCTGAGACCAACTGGACAACAGCCACAAAGACCCAGGATGCTCCCAGGAGTGTGCTAGCTAGTTCCACATGTCTTCCACTCATTCCCATGCATCCTTTAGCCACAGCCAAGTGAGGGGCCTCCCCTGTGTGCCCACCACCCCCTCATGCCATCCCCTTACAGTAATGGCATCCCACAGCAACAAGGGCAAAGCCAAGACTCAAACCCAGGCTGATTCATGAAAGCATAAATACCCATTTCTTCTTTAAGAATGAAATGCTCGTCTCTAACTACACTTGTTAAACAATAAAGAACAGATGGGGGTGGAGGACTGCCATGATGGTTCATACTTGTAATCCCAGCATTCAGGAGGCGGAGACAGGATGATCAGTAGGTGAAAGCCAGCCTGTCTTGAAACTCAAAATAAAAAGCGGGCTGGGGATGTGGCTGAAGTGGCAGAGCACCTGTATAGCAAGTGAAAGGCCTTGAGTTGAAACCCAGTACTGTGAAAATAATAATTATTATAATTAATGAATAAATAAAAAGGATTGGGAAACATAGGTCATTGGTAGAGTGCTTTCCTACCAATCTTGAGGCCCTGGGTTTAATCCCCAGTACCACAAAAATAAATACGTAAGTAAATAAAAAATAAATAAATGTAGAAAGCCCCAGGTGAGACTGGAGGGGTGGATTGGCTATACACCACACTTCTTATTCTCTGAAACTCCTGATGGCAAGTAGAAAAAGGCTGACCACACAAAACACTCAAGCCCCTCCTTAACCATAGACCTTGTTTTCCTTTAGTAAGGATAAGAAACTGTGCACCCTTCAGGCTTCCTTCATGTTGGCATTGACAAATTGTCCTGATGTAAATAAACTGTAAAACCTGTTACCATTCCTCTTCTGGGGGTGGGTTGTTGGCAGAGCTATAAAACATGCAGGGTAAACTCCACAGCCCTCCTCTTATCTGTGGGCACTTATTTATCTGGGGCGGTTTCCCTTCAGTATCACGCAACATAAAATGCTTGGGTGCCTGGTTCCACTTCTCACATCCCCCTGGGAGGTGGTACTAGTCAAGTGGCCTGACCAGCACCTTCAGCTCCCTCTGAAGGGAGGAAAAGGCAGTGGGGACAGCAGCCTTTGAGCCTATCCAAGCCCCTGCAGGTGACTGGCACAGGCCTCTGCCACCCCCCATGTTGCTGGCAGTGGTTTGATTGAGATTCTTCCTTGACAAAGGTAATGGGGTCTTGCCAGGTAGCCTGGGTTGGTTTAGAACTGCCAATCCTTCTGTCTCAGCCTCCCAAGTGATGGGATTACAGTGTGTGCCACAATGCCCAACTTTGGGTTTTTTGTGTGTTTTGTTGTTTTCAGAAAGTAGATATAAAGCTTTAATTCCCCATGGGCATTTCTCTGAGGATGCTTTACATTAGAAAGAAACTGCTTCATATTTCTTCATTTTTACAAAGACAGTGTTCTTTATGGTACTGTGAACCACACCAACATAGCTTTTTAACTAGTTAAGTAAGCATACATTACACATATCGTGACCCACGGATTAAATGCAAATATAGAAGTCGAGTACATGTTAGAATGTTTAAATAAAACAAGAAAGGCTAAATGCCTTCGCAAGTACACATATTGACTTTTATTCTAGACATCATATTGCAGTGACAATTGTAATGAAATAACCACTTGTAGAAGACAGTTCATTCAGACTCATGACACCCGATTAAGAGAGCGTTTTTAACAACACAGTACATGCTGCTGGTTATCTCTGGACTCCACATTTGTGAATCCACATGCTCGCTAAAATGAATACTGGGTGAGT